AATTCAATCAGATTAACCTACTGTCATAATTATGGAGTGTGATTTATTTTCATCTGTAAATATCTTCAAACTAATGAAATATAAAGTTCTTAGTGAAGAAAATCCATCAGGATGACAGCAGACTGACTGCTGGTAAAATAAACCACAGGTCTGAACCACTGGGGAGTTTTGTTCATATCTGAAAATAAAGTTAGAATAAGAGAAACCAGGTGAATGATAAGTTCTGAATCACTCGTACACAACTGAAGAACGGTTCCAGCATGAGGCCCACTGGAAGCCTTTGTGCTGCTTTCATCATGAAGCACATACTGTATGCAGATTTTGTAGGTTTTATAAATGAGGATGACTTTAATGATATGTATGTTAAATATATGTTATGTTATGTGTACAAACAGACAATCTGAAKCTATGTTCCCTTTACAGCAGCAGCTCTGCTTGATGAGCTCCTTCCACAGCATGAAGCAGAACTGGGACCAGTCAGAGCCCAGTCACATCCAGTCTGACTGCTTTCACTTCCAGCTTCTTACATTCTSTCCATCATACTTCTCTCCTGTGCAGAAGCAGTATTTATTATGTGTGGGATGATTGACAGCTGCATGTTATGAAGTGCCTAATTCTTATTTTACTCTAAGAAGACATGATTCAGGAAAAACGCTGCTTTCAGAGCCTAAAGTCTCTGGACTGTAAATGATAAAATTTGAATGAAACTTGCACATCTGTGCAGATGGGATGGATGTAAGTCCAGGTTCTTGTCTCTGATGTGCAACATTAAACCTGAAGTTTATGAAGAGCTGAAAGTCAGTTGTTCTCCTGAAGAACTTCACCTGAGCTTCTCTGTCATCTACTTCATGCTCTGAACTTTGAACACTTCACTGATATTTGTTTTTGTTGACATACAAACACAACTATAGTGCACGTGCACTGCTGCTGTAATGTTAATACTCATGAGTGTGAAWTAGAAAGTGCAGCTTTTATTATTTAAGTTTTTAAATAAAATGTTCCTGCATAAACTGACTTCAGTT